TACCATAATTAAAAAAAAAATCTTCTCCAGTCTGTTTTCAGAACATTTAATTTCAAAAGCTCTTGCCTATGGAATTATTCTTCCTCAGTTGTAAATGCTATCACAGCTGATATAATGGGTTAAATTCCCCCTTTTTCCAGGCCTCCATCTTTTGGCCCCCTGGTTCTTTTTACTTCTTTGACTCTTTGCCTTCTCAAATCTGACTCCTTCCAACCTTTCCCTTCCAACTCTCAGAAAGGAAGTAGGAAGGGGAAACAAGGAAATAGAGGGATATCAAAATGATTATTTGCCAATGAAAGCAGGAGAGACTCAAGATAAGAGAGAAGGTCTTTGAGGCCTGGTGTTTCCATGATCCTATTAACCTAATGCTAGCTTGAAAGGAGGACTTGTCATTTCTTCTTGGGTGAGCTGTTTGCATGAGTAATGCTGGATTTGGAGGCCATGGATGAAAATTATTCTGTGAAAATTACATAGTAATCCCCTGATTTACCCAACCTAGTGGGTAAGTCAGGGAAAATGGCCAGTTCATCTGCTGAAAATAAATTCTTTCCTTTGGAAGATAGTAAAAGGCATAGGAAGACACTGAATAAATGCTTTCTGATGGTGTGGGTGCAGGCCAGGAGCCACTGAGGTCTGGAGGCCTTTCTAGCTGAATGGTTGGAGAGCTCTTAAGTGAGAAGAGATGTGCTGAGAATTCACAGAGTCAGATATTTTCACTGTAAGGGGAAGACGTTAAAAGGGTAGGGCTCTAAAATGAAAACTGGCTCCTTGCAACGTATAAGGCTAAATGAGGTCCCCAGTCAAAAAGACCCTGGGCTCTGTTTTGGGTCCCTCCCTTTTCCCTGGATTTGGGAAATTAGGAAATTTACTCCCCCTTTCTAAGCTTTCAGTATCTTTATAACACTGAAATAATCAGTCCTGTTCTACCCATCTTTCTGGGGAGACAGGATCATGTGATACAAAATGATAGTGTGCGGTGATGTGTACCACTCCACACATATGGTACCACTGAAGTTTTACTCTCACTTGTGACCTGATTGGTCGGTCAGCAGGGATTGTGAACGCTATCAGTCAGCGCCTCCTGTAGGGGTGGGCTGGAGCTGGCATGTCCCTCCCCCTGGGGAGCTTAAGTTGGCTGGAAGAAATCACGTAACCAAAGCTATGCACCCTGCACTGTGCATGGCAGTGGAGGGTGAGGAGCGTGAAGACAGCTCAGCCAGGCCATTTATATAGAGATGCCTGCTTTTACTGTCAAGACTTCAGAAAGGACACTAAATTTAATAATAATTTGATCATATCTGGCATTTTAAAATCAAATAGTGCTTGTTTAAGAAAATTTTAAGTAGATACACTTTTGATTCAAAGTCTGTTGG